GCCAACAAGCACAACCAAAAGTTGTGAAAAAATTATAATCTGGGAAAATTTTAAACAACCGTTCAAAGGGAGACTGGTTTTGTAAGGTTGGTGAAGGCAAACAATTTATCAAGTAACAGGTAGTAAGAAAAACATCTTCCCAAAAATTAGAGGGAACATTAGTCGTAGCCATTAATGAGAGGCCCGTTTCAACAATGTGACGATGTTTGCATTCAACGGAACCGTTTTGCTGGTGAATATGTGGACAAGTGAGACGATGGGTGATCCCAAAAGAGTGACAATAATTGTTTATTCGATGATACTCACCTCCCCAATTCGTTTGAAGGGATTTAATTTTTCGATCAAACAATCTTTCAACATGAAGTTGAAATTGGTGAAATATAATTTCAACATCAGACTTGCGTTGGATGGAAAACAACCAAGTAAACCTACTATAATCATCAACAAATGAGACACAATAGCAATCTCCATTATTTGAAGGAAGAGGTGCAGGGCCCATACATCCGAGTGTACAAGTTCAAGAGGAAATTTAGATTTCGACAAAGAAAGAAAAAATGGAAGACTATGACTCGTAGCACATTGACAAACATCACACATAGCAGAAACTTTATGAGAAGTTACGGGAAGATTATTGAAGGAAATAACTCAACGAATAGTGCGAAGAGCCGGGTGTCCAAGCCAACGATGCCGCTGATCCAATGATGCCCCGTCACCTAGCAAGGCATGTGGAGTAGATTTATTGAGGGAGGACACTGGAAGTTTGTAGAGATCATCCTCATTCTGCCTTGCAGAAGAATTTTCCCCGTGAGCAAATCTTTAACAAGAAAACAAGAAGGGTTAAATACAAAAAAAACGTTATTATCCGAAGTAAACTGATTGACATAAATGAGATTTTTTTTGATGTCTGGGACATGCAAAACATTATTTAAGTGAATAATGGAGTAAGGAGTAGGCAATTTAGTAGCCTAATATGTTTGATAGGAAGATTAGTACCATTGTCAACCCAAATGTGATCACCCTCTATATACTTATTAGCCCAACACATTTAAATTATTGAAATTAGCTATCAAATGGTTGGTTGCACCCAAATCTGGATATTAGTTAAGGTTAGAAACATTTTATGGGGTAGATATGAAAGCACTCAAATTGTCAGCTCGATCACCATGATAAACGTGATTGAAGTGTTGAAAACATTGGAGAGCAGTGTGCCCAGTTTTATTACAAACTTGACAAATTGGTTTGTTGGAGAACTGTAAGGAACTACCTCGTCCACACCCTTGCCACGTTACTGCCAAGAATAATGTGAAGAACGATTTTGATATGAAGAATGTGTGGAAGATCAATGGGATCAGGTGCGAATCCAAGGGAAAAATCAATAGCTACCAAGTGGTGCTCCAACCAAAGTTCATAGGATAAAAGATGATCATACAAATAATCAACTGTCATAGGGTCAATTCAAGTAGTCACAATGGTGACTAAGGAGTCATAATCTGAGCCAAGACCTGCCAAGATGTAAGAATTAACATCAAAATCATTTAGTGGTTGGCCAATGGAGGCAAAAGTATCTGCAAATCCTTTGACTTTCTGGAAATAGTTCGTAATTGAAGAAGAGCCCTTTTTAATTGTAGCAAGCTGGTAACGAATCTGCATTATCCGTGCCTTCGAGTGCGAATCAAACATATTCTCCAATGTAGCAGCCCACCACATGAGCAATGGTTCCTTCAAAAAGTGAAGAAATAATCAACCTGAGAATAATTTGATCTTGTTGCAACCAGAATGGATAGTCTAGATTGATGATTATGTTGGACCCACCATCTTGAGATAAAGAATTCAAAATAGACTAATAAGGAATGGGTGTGGTTCCATCAAGATAACCGAAGAGATATTGACCTCTAAAATATGGAACTACTTGTGCTTTCCATAATAAGTAGTTGTCACGGTTTAAATTTATGGGAAAAAGATGATTCAGGTTTATGAGGTTAAATGTGGGAGGGTTTGAAGTAGTGGTTGAAGAAATTGAAGATGATGAACTACTAGTCATTTAGACGTGTGTCAATGAAAGCTCTGATACTATAAAAGAGTTAAACATAATGCTATTAGAGTTGGATTTCCTCACCCTAACTTTGGTTGAGATTTTATTTTTGTATTTATAGGTAACTTCTTTTACAACGGAGATAATGATAATTCTAATTTATATACATGATTTGAATATAAAATTCTATTAACTACGTATCTCTGGTGATCTAACAGATATCATGATTGAGTTTGATCCCCATTGGTTTGTTACTTATCCATAGCCTTATCACTTGATGTTTCAATAGCTCGTTACCGGAGTCAATGCATTTTGAGTCCTATTGACTCTCTACCTCCTTTTCCTCTTCCTCTTCCCCTTCCTCGAAAGACTCACTGCAAAACTCAAGGTTATAGGGAATAGGAAGTTGAACACTTGTGATAGTCAAGAGTATACTTTAAAAAAATGCGGGTAGCTTGGTTGAAACCATTGTCATCCAAATACTATCAAACCTTTTTAATCGTTGCAAAAGTCACAGTGGACCTTGTAGGGTAGGAGGTCTCTTCTGTTTCAATCTCTTCAAAAGTCATGATGGACCTTGACTAGTGCTGCATATTTGAATGTGTCTTAATTGACTTAAGCATGACTTCCTATGACCTTGAAGTCTTCTTGGCAGAGTTATTAAAATCAGATCAGACCGGCCGGTTGAACCTTGAACCCGTACTTAAAACGGTCCGGTTCTCTTGTTAGACTGCATAAGGAAAGAAACCGCTCGGGAATCGGTGAACCGGCCGATTTTAGATCAAACTCGGGAACGAGACGGTTTGGAAAAACCGACGGGTTGAAATTTCAAGCACATATTTAAAAATAATAAATAAATAAACCTTTTTTTGGGTCATTTGCCCTAAATCCAAAGCAGATCCCATCCACTTTTCACATTTCAGGCGACCAGCTACCACTCACTCTCAGCAATCAGCGATCAATCACCAGCCACCAACTAGTCTCTCTTTTCCAACCACTCTGTCTAGTTCTTCTATGGCTTTTTCAATGGTCCGAGGCTGATTTATCATCTCTACTCTTCGTCTCCTCACGAGGCTTGAACCAGTGATATTATGTGCTGAAGCTACAAACCACCTGATTGATCAAACACTTGAAATGGATTAACTGAAGATTGAAAGTTGTGTAATTGTGAAAGAGAGGGATGTGCAAGGTGTTGTTCAAGCTGCTCCCGTTTATGATACAAACATAAATGCACAGTTAGTGTAGGGTTAGAAAGTAAGTAATTATCAAACACACCCCCAAATTAAATAAAATCTCTAAACTAGGAATTTGGAATACTATTTTGTGGATTTTATTTTTATTGTGATTGTGGATTTTATGGTTGGTACGAATATATTTTATATTTTTTGGCTAAATTATTATATTTTATAATTTTTTTTATTATAAGATCAGGCTGACCAGTTGAACTAATGAACCATTGACCCGGTTTCTTTGTTGATTCGATGTCCAATCCGATTTTGTTAACATTGCTTTTTAGAATGTCAAAGTGCATCGAGCAACACGAGGCGAAATGTCTTTTTTCCTTATTTGTTGATGTCGGGAAGCTTCAAGTCTTGACGTTTGTATCAATAACTTCTTCGCATGATGTCTTCGTTAAACCATCCTAGAGCTATTACACAAGTCATGAAATTGCCAACCTCTGGTCCTAAACTTGACATAACGGTTCCGAAGAACCAATGTTAGGAGTAAGCCTTGGACCCCCTCAAGCCATGTGGACCCTAGCCTGATGCAATCGAATGTTGGGGGACAATTGACAACACATTATTTGATGGACCAGTCCCAGCTGGACACTTGTCCTGGATTAGGGGCATGACCACTGGACATGTCAATCTCGATGTACATCCTCCCCAAGAACCGGACATTAAAAAAGACTACAAGGGGTGATCCCAAGTCAGGTATGGACTCGGGCGCGAACTCACCTTATGACGTCCTTTTATCCTTATTTTCATATAACCATTGACATCCATAATTTGGCAGATGGGATAGCTGGCAAAGATCACCGCCTTAATCGACCCCTCGTGGACTACAAAACCAATCCTAGAAGAAGAGTGACATTGTGTCAATTTTGACACATGTATGGACCAACCAAAGTAAGCCCTGATCGGGACATCATTCAGGTGTTGACCCCTAGCAACCCTAAATGACTGAGCCCTGTTGTCGAGTTTGCTTAGAGAAACAAATACAGCACAAGCCTCCCTTGAGCCAATTAAAAACATGATAGATGGCCACCTTATGTCAGAGATGAAACATTCTCTAGTGAGACACACACTAACATGTAGTGCCCATCGTCCAAAAGGACTGATCAAGGGACTCCACTTGGAAAGTAAAAACCTTGTTGTGAGAGATTTCCAATTATGATAGTCCACAACAACATTCCCTGAAAATGTACATAACTTAAGTCTCCAAGTATGTTCTAAGAAATTCAAATCGATCATCCACCATAACACACCGACACTGACTTAAGCATTATAAGAATGCAGGAGCTTCGTCTCACATCGACTAAGAGTCGTCTTTCCCCCTCGCATATAAACTCTTGCACCCAAAGGAGGAGGTATCCACTAGGCACCTGTTCAGGTCACTAGTGGGTACTTCCTCCTTTAAGTGCAAGGGCTTATAAGCGAGGGGGTAGACGACTCTCAGTCGATGTGGGACAAAACTCCTGCAAGTATTGAGAGGTAAAGACTACTGAGAGGTCGCCCGCGTGGATTAACCCAGGTCAAATCGAAATCTTTAGTAGAGGGTTCTATCCCTTACAGAAAGACGCCTTTTTTGTAAGGGGTAAAACCCTCTATTAAGAATTTCGACTTGACCTGGATTAACCCGTGCAGGCAACTTCCAGTGTTCGCAAGAACTTCGTCTCACATGAATCGAGGATCGTCTCCACCTTTGCATATAAGTCATTGCACTCAAAACTAGACACCGGTCGGAGAAAACGAGGGCCAATTCCCTGCGCATATGGTGCATGTTAGCCAGTAGCCCACTCGCCGACGATAATAGCTTCTATTTTTCCCGTCTGAAAAGTGCAGAGTCTTATCTGAATTTACAACCTTAACAAGAAGTAACTTCACTCCACACGGAGAGAGAGAAATCTCCCTCAGAAAGAAAACCATACCAAATCAACCTCGAAGAGGAGAGGGTGTGTCCTCTAACACACACAGTAGCAATAGCTATGGCCTCTGCATTGCCTGCGCAAGTGGTGTCTCACTATCGCTCCTGCTCTGCTGTCCAGGTCAGCCTTCTTTCTTGTACAAGTATTAGAAGCTTTTTATTGAGGACTGCTTCTCCTTCCTCTACTTTCCTGAGCCCTATCTCAATCATTCACGCCGTTCAGGGTAGTTTGGGTTTTCTAATCTTTAAAAAAAAAAAAGCTCGAGGTTCTTAGCCCTGTATTATTTGTGTGATGCCTCACTATTAGAGTTTCTCTATTTTCTCCTTTGTGTTATGATGTTCTTCATTATATTAATTTCCCAATTTTGAATTGTCATGAACTGTTGGCATCATGTATTTGCACATCGTTATTTTAAGTTTTTTCATTGACCTCTGTTAACCATGGCTATGTGCTTAGAGAGTAGAGAATGAAACATCAATAGTAGTCATACACTCGAAGAAAACAAAATACTATCAGATTGTCAGTTTTTCTTTCCCCTAACTACTACTAAGGTTATTGCATAATGCTCACTCTTATACTGTTGCACCCATTGTTCAACATATCATTCTAACTGCTACGCCTATACTATCTTTTCATAAACGTCTGAATATTCTTGACCGTGCCTTGCTTGTGATGGGGGAATTCTTGAGATAATAATAGCTTTTGCTCTGTTATTCTTCAATCTTCGAGCTGTTGGTTTGTGTTATAATGACATGCCTTGTGATATATGGATAGTTTTATTTTCCAGGGTAGTTTTAGCCATGAAGTTTCACATGCGTATAAGCCACTTAAGATTGCTGGATTGACAAATTTGCTGCCCAATAGTTCCCGGGTTGCAACTTCAAGCTATTCCAAAACGGCTTTGACCTCAAGATCTCACTATGCATCGTGTCTTTCTGCCATTCCACATTTCAGAGCACCTTTAGTTGGATATCAAAGAGTGAAGTGCATCAACTCCATGGCCAGTGTAAGTTTCTTGCTGATCACTTTGCTTTTGGTATCTCTAAAGCGGGAGATGGATTCTCAGATAAGTAGACTCGCGTGACTTCTTTGGGTAAGGTTCTCAGCTGCATGGTGTTAATCCTGTTTAGTTTTGTCTTGAAATTTTCTACACTCCCCATGACAATGTCTCATTTTCAACGAACCAAGACTCAAACAGGTACAGTTTTGGAGTAAATATGTTTAACCCTTGTGTAATCGTATGTTCTAGCATGCAGTGGAAATCTAAAGACTCCTTGTAGCCCTTATTGAGTAAGTAGGGCCACCCAAGGTTAGTTTGTATGTTTAAGAGACCTCTCCACTCATGATCAATTGGTTTTGAGTTAGATGTTCTAACATGATATCAGAGCTGAGCCTTGTATGGTTTTTGGACCAAGCCTCCTATCCATTTGTGTTTCCCGATATGGATGTTTGTCTTTTCGTTTGTTAGCTTCACGTGTGAGCCCCGGTTGCACTTGAGTGTAAATAGAGCTTATATCCTACATTGGTTACCCAAAGTTGATTTATATGTTTAAAGAGCTTCTCCACTTATTGTCAATTGGTTTTGAACTATTCAAGACTTAATACTTTGGGGAGGGGGTGGGGTTGGAACAGCACCATTACAAGAAATATTTTAAATGGCATAACATATGAGAGGGAGCATGAAGATATTCATCAGAAGCCAGTAGTCTTCATATTTTATTAATTGAATAAATAGTTGACCATTTTATGATATTCTATGTAGTGTTAGATTATCATATAATTTGGAACATGTAATTTGATAAAAGTAACTATCTGCTCAATAGAAATTTATAAATCGATGGATCAATATCCATGCAAATTCTTGAGAATGTTACGAATCAGACAATTGATGAGCAAAGAAATCGAAGGACTTTGTAATCAATAATTGGAAACGAATAGATCTGTGAGTTGTAAGCATGGCACCAATTGCATACAAATCAAAAGAGAATTGAGAAGATGCTTTGACAGGCATGAAAAAGTCCAAGATGTGGACCAGTTACATGGTAACCATTCTTGACTAAGCAAAATGGTAAAAGAGAATGTATGCAGCCAAATCCAAATAATGATGACAATACTGTGTTTCGTGTGGTTAGTTAAAAAATTAATTAACTGCACATGTGCACAGGTTTGATGAGTGTTTCAACTCTTTAGGTTTCCGTGTGTAAATTTAACATTATCCTTACTTCTAATAGGACAACATGCGTCTGGGTGTGTTAGCACTTGCATGTTTTATGCAACTATCACTAAAAACCAGTAAGAAAAATGGCCTTCCTCATGAGCTCAAGGGACCATGGCCCCTGCCAGCCCTCTCTCTTGACACATGTTTGTGCTGCTGAACAGATTTCTTTCACTGTCTGAATGACTCTTTGATTGGTGACGAGGGTTTGGTAGGATATTTTGGACGTTCATGGCTGAATCCTTTTTAAAAGAATAGGTTTGGGAGACTATTGTTTTATAGATTAGCTCTGAAGCACCTTAAAATGTCATGCAGCAACTGCAATACTGCATCCTCAAAACATGTCAACACAAGCACTATTATTTGCTTTGCTTTCTCACGATATCTGTGTGCATATGTATATATGTTTCGTACTTGATATATGTTTTGGTTTTAATATATAATGGGAATTTTTTAATCATTTATTTTCTTTTACGCCAGGAGCTAGTGCTGCAAGCTAAAGTGACGACAAAGTGCTTCTTTGATGTAGAAATTGGGGGTGAAGCTGTGGGTAGAATTTTAATCGGTCTTTTTGGAGATGCTGTCCCAAAGACGGTTGAGAACTTTCGTGTCTTGTGCACAGGCAAGCTGTGCTGTGATAATTAGTCCATTTTTTTATGGAATCATGGTTATTGTTGTTATATCGTTCTTGTTGTTTTTCACAAGCATAATAATTAAAAATAGTACCTATTAAGAAAGGAAATGCCGATATTGAAGGAAAGATTGTAATTCGAGAGATGGACAAAAAAATTGAAGATAGTTATGGTGATATTAATATCTATGTTAATGTGAAAATCAGCTTTGATTTATTCTTGTTTCCCTCTGCATTTTTTTTTTTGTTTTATTTGTTACACTTGTGCAAAGTTGACAACACATAGATGATATCAATTTCAAGATACTTGTTGATAGTTGGACATTTTAATTCAGTTCACTTCTAAAGGGATGTTAAAAATTATGATTGTTGTATTACTGACAAAGCTGTGTCGTAGTTTTAATAATTCAATTAGGAAAAATTACTTGCAGGAGAGAAAGGATATGGTTACAAAGGATGCTCCTTCCACCGTATTATTAAAGATTTTATGATCCAGGGAGGGGACTTCACTGAAGGAGATGTGAGCTCTCTCTCTCTCCCTCTCTCTCTCTCTCAATTTTGCTATGAGAGTAGCCAAGTTGCTAGATGCTTTTGCATGTGAATGACATTTGTGGCAAAAATCTGTGGTGTTCATGGGCTGCAGGGTACTGGAGGAATCAGTATTTATGGTCCTAGTTTTGAAGACGAGAGCTTTGCCTGTGAGTGTTTCCTTTACTCTAAATGAGAGTGGGGTGGTTTCACAACAGGGTCTTGAAATTTACTCTGGCGTCATTATCATCATTCCTCAACTTTTAAATGTGCAATTAAGTGATTTCTAATTTGCTGATATTCTACTGTAATATTTGCAGTGAAGCATGTTGGACCTGGAGTTTTGAGTATGGCCAATGCAGGCCCTAATACCAATGGCAGTCAATTTTTCATTTGCACGGTGAAGGTGCGATAGCTGCATCCGTTACCTTTTCTATTGCCAAATTGGCCATCTTCTTTTTCATGTGTCATTATAAATATCTCCAGTAATCTTACTTGCGAGACATCATTGCTATGATTTGGTGCACATATTTTTTCAATAACATTGATGACATAGAATCGGTTTATCTTTTGTGAATGTGGTTGTAGGAGAAAAGGATGATCAAATCTTCCTGTTTGAGGTTATTTATCTTTTAAATGAAGAACTAATTCATAATGGGATATAGTTACATCAGGAATGAGATTTAAAATGAGTAGATGGGCAATATTCATCAATATTGAAGATCGTTATGGACAAAGCAATCGAAATTTTGCTGAGCAGAATAAAAAATGTACCAAGTATTTGCTTGACATTGTAGGTGAAGTTGCATTATGATTTTGGGTCAGTCCTTTGCATATACTAATTTTCATTGTTCTAGTGCCAAAATTGATGAACTCTGTCCTTTCCTGTTGCACTCTCAACGACCACACAAGATATATATTGAAGTAGTATTAGACGAGAAATGCATGAGGCTAATGATGCTACTGTAAGATATCAGTTGTTTTTTTTCTTTTTCCTTTTATTTTTTGTTTGTTGTTGTATGAGGTACCAAGAAGTGTGCAACCCCAGCAGTAAAGAAGCACAAAAAAGCAAGACTTGGTAGCTTCATGGCTGGATCTACCTCACTTGATATACCTGTAACTGTAGTTACGCCTAACATGTTAAAGTTTAGCCTCATATTTTAGTCAACGTACATTGACAGCCAAACGCTGTTTTGTTTACTCTGATCATTGTGAAACCTTACCTGAAGGTGAGGACACTCACATTCAGGTTGAAGAACACTAACATTCGAACACCCCCTAAAAAAGCCACATGTGAAATGATCCTCATTGGATGCACTCAATCAACTGAGGTTTCATACCTTATATTTTGAGCGTAGAACAGAGAATATTGGGAATAAGATTCCATGAGTTTTGTGGTAGCTATACCAAACTATGTTGACTTGTTGCATAAGGATAACTAGAAATTTGCTCCTAGTCTTTTTTGCACTTGGATTTACCATTAATTATGCATGGTAACTATTTAATTACCATATGCTTTCAATAATTTAACAATCCAAGCCCACAAAAACCATTTTGCCCTCCTAAGGAGATGTATGTGTATGACAGTTGAATTTACATTTTGTAGACTCCATGGCTAGACAATCGCCATGTTGTATTTGGACATGTCATTGATGGAATGGATGTTGTGCGGCAGCTTGAATCTCAAGAAACTAGCAGGTCAGACATCCCTCGTCTGCCATGCAGAGTTGTTAACTGTGGGGAGCTACCCATGGATGGCTGATCTATCGGATTTTATCTTACAAACAATTATGAGTGCAATTTTTCTTTTAGTCCATCCAAGTTTTTCTCACATTTGAATGTCCAATAATTTTATCAAGTAGTTATGTGAATTGATATCAAGTTTTTAGTTGAGAGAAATTGAGATGACATTGCTTGTTTGCTAGGATATTCTTGTCTGCAGGTGCTTCTATTATTTACCCCTTTAATGCAAACTAGCAAATTCTCTAAGTAGGGTATACGTTTTGATTCCAATTTACTGGGATTGTCGGCTGAAATCCACATGTGGAATGGAATTTGCAATTATTACATCCAGGCAAGGCTCTTTTTGTTTGGATGCTATGGCAGATGCAGGGGAGCTGCCCCCACAAATTTTTAAAGACCCCTTATCATATAGGTGCAGTGCATATTTATCCTTGGACTTACATAGACTTTTGTGATGCCCAGACCCGTACAGTACAGTAGTCTGTCTGGGATTAGACCCGTCCACCCCAAGCAAACAAATTGTTTGGGATCAAAGCCGATCCAGGTGATTTGGGATTCTGGAGAATTACTTCCACCACGCTGGTTGTTACTGTCTTGAGCTATGAAGCACGGATATTTTGTCAAGATCGACGTATCTATATCGGATATGATACTTATCGGATGCTTGATGATACGTATTGGATACGCATTATCTGTATCCGATAATTAATAAAATATGTAGATATTTCATAGATACTTCTAAACATGGAGTAAGATGTACATTTTTCAATTTTAGGATATACCCCTTTCTTTGGAGTTCACATACAATATAAAATATCAACAAAATTTTATATGATTTTGAAGACACGAGTGTTTTTTAAGTATTATTTATTATTATATGTTAAGAGAGTATAAAAAAATGAATCACTTAAACTATAATCTTAAAAATAAATACTTGTAAACACACCAACTAGTTAAATATGGTTATGATTCCTTCAATTGATCATTTTTATTTTATGAATATATCATAATAAGACGATATTATATCATTTACAAGGTAAAAATTTTCGATTTTGCTTACTAATATTAAAAAATTATTGAAAAGTGTAATTTCTAAGTCGTTAAATTATAGACGTACTTTAGTCGTATCTATATCTTATTTTTTAAAATTTTGTCGTATTACCATATTCATATCGTATCGTTCTCGTGTCACATATCCGTATCCATACTTCCTAGGTGTGGGGCCACCAGCCCATATGATTGGCGTTCACAAAAAATTAAGGATGCATGGACTACACAGACTTTATCACGATGTGGGATCTGGGACACAATACAATTTGTATGGCGCAGAACTAATGAGATTGGTTAAGATAAAATAACATGGACTGGTGTTGTATACAACATGTATTCTGGGTATAAATACGTTGCTAATCTCTTTACGAGCTTAAGTAACAAGTATAGATCTTATGATTGTGATTGTACTGGATCATGGTATCGAGTACATTAGAAATTTTTATGAGGAGAACTATATTATGGTTGCGGATATATAGAAGATCGTCACCCCCATGTTGCAGCATTCTATTGGAAGACAAGGTTACTGAGAGGACTATTACCTAATAGGCAATAAGAACAGATACAGCAGTAGAAAGTTCGTATGGAGAATGTAACATGTGATTGTATATATATTGCTTATTCTGTTATAACCTTGTATATTCCTCATTTTTCTTTTGGTAAGTAAATAACTTTTCTACTACTTGTATAAGTTGTAAATATACTTCATCTCCCATCCCATTTCCATTGGGGACGATGCAAAGGAGTTTCTCACCTATGCGAGGACTACAGTTTCAACTGGAGCTGACTGGATCAGTTGCTCCACCTGCTCTCTTTCTCCACCTTCCCATATTTCAGGCAGGGCCTCTTTGATATTGTGGATGCTAGTCAAAGCATGGTCCGCACCAGGCACTAGAGTGGAGCTTCCCACCTGCATGTCTTGGATTAACATTTGTGCAAGCAAATTGTAGGCCGACAAAAAAGAAAAGAAAAGGAAATTTGTCGATACAGGATGATGATCGATCCTCAATTCCAATATAATGTGATGATATGGAATTGAGGATCTGTAACATCTATTTACACATGGCCCGCCTCCCCCCCGGCTTGAGATCATCCATTGAAATATAGAAGAAGGTTAGGTGAGGTTTAGAACTCACAATAACAGTATAAAGTCCTGCTGCTTTCCCACTCTCAATGTTGCGAGCACTATCATCAAAGAATATCTGAAAAATTAATTAGGAGAAGAAAAAGGATAACCGTTGATTAAAATCCTGTATATTTGTAGCTAGGGAATCACAATTCACATCATAATCTATATAATAATAATAACAACAATACTCCCTGCTGGTCATGTAGGGAAGGTAAATTCAAATACTTACTGTCTTCTGTGGGTCAATATTTGCAATTCGAATTGCAGCTTCAAATGCTTCCACAGAAGGTTTGCAGAGAACTCGCGAGTGGGAGCTGATCAATGTATTAGTCCCTGGACTTGCGATTTTGGGGACTTCATTACCATCTATCCCGTTCCCTTGCATGTAATAATTATCATCAACTGGTTCAACATGGGGGGGATGGGGATTCAGAGTTTCAAAGCATATGACACCTTCAAAACAATCTTCCAAACCCAACCTTTTGAGGACTAGTGCTGCATGCGCTTGGTCGGCATTAGTAAAGATCTGAAGTCACCAGTAATGCATGAGTACATATATATTAGCTACAACTGTATAACAATAATTAATATATACATGCATATATAGGTCCACACTGCACTACTGGTAATTAATTACTTATGTATGACATAGACATACTATTTTTCGTTGTGACACAGATAGTAGAAGGTTCCTCAGCGCTGGATCTGGTTTCAGTACATCATATGGTAGATTTCCATGGACATAGGCGTGAAACTCGTCATTGTCGAATTCATAGCCAAGTGCCTGAAAAACGAAGCTGAGGCACGTACGTTCTCCAATACATTAAAGACAATTACATATATGTGTATGATAGCATGAGTGGGAAAAAAAAAACCCAAAAAAAAAAAAAAAGGAAAAAGATTGCGGTCAGGTTGTTGTTTAATTACCTTGAGACCGGCCATTGTCGTCCCATATTCTCTGTACAATTCCAAACACATCCTGGGCACTTCATTTTCTTCAATTTGCAAGTGTTGCAACATGAACTCTGCAGCAAAATTAACATTGCTTATCTATCTATCTATATATCTCTGTACCTGATTATGGCTCACTATAAAATTAAAATGACAACCAATTAATATTATACCTTGTATATTCTTGCGGCAAGCCAAGTTGAGACCCGAGCTCAAGGGGTACAAAGTATCATCCATGTCTGATCAGGAACAATTGAACAAGGCAGAAATCAAGGATCATTTTATTGTAATTAATGCTTGGTGATCGGAGCATTAACATTAACATTAATGGACTGGTGACTGTGACTGGTGACTGGTGAGAATCAGATACAGAGAGACAGGTGTGTTTAATTAATTCGTTCGTTTTTTGGTCTAGCTACTCAAATAGATTAATGGCTTGATCAGTGATTACGTACCAAAGAGCAGGCACTCATACTTGGCTTCGCTGGACCTGCCAACGGCTTCCATTTTCCGGTAACAAAACTACAAAGATTAATATATATATATATAGGTCAATTTCAGCTTTTCTCAAATTGAAAAAATCTCAAACTTCGTTTTTTGTTATAGACGGAAATGGTACTACTTACTAATAGCAGCAGCAGCAGCAGCAGCGCGGCGGCTTATTAAGCAAATATCTAGGAAGATAGAAACGGCAATAGTCAGATGGACCTAAGAAAGAAATGGATGTTCAATTAGAAGAAAATTGAGAGGCAACAGTACAATGACATAATTGAGGAACTGACCGAACATAGACTTCCATTAATTATGATAAAAACAATAAGATTTAATGCATAATTAATTCTGATAAAGGAAATATAATAGGGAAGGAAGCTGATTGAAATGAAATATAGAACAAGATCAAGATGACGATTACCTAATAATTAGGAAGTCTCCAAACACGTTGTAAGGCTCCAGTTTTCATGATCCAAATAATCGGCTTTGGAGGGACTATTTATAAAGATGTGTGTGTGTGTGTGTGTGTGTATTACATACGAGAATCAGTCCAACGCATGGGTGTCATAAGAGGAATATAACTAGTATATATGCGTAAGAAACGACACGCATCAGCTGCCCTATGTACTTTTTGATGAGGATTTATTTCGTATTATTCTGGAGAATTAATTCAGCCTTGCACTTTCTGTTTCCA